AGACCGTTCCGAGAGATGATCGCTCGTCCAAAAACTAGCCGAGACGAGTGAAAAATGAACGAGCCTCCAAAGTTGGGCATTTCGCACGCTTTTCCTGCCCAGGTCGTCGTGCGACTTCGGCGTCGACTCGTTCGACCTCCGCATCACCGACGTCGGCGGCAAGAACTACCGCCTCTTCGTCGAGGCGCTGGACAAGGACATCGTGCCCGCCGAGTCGAAGATCCTCGTGAAGAAGAACCGCGTCACGGTCAAGCTCAAGAAGGTCAAGGGCGAGTACTCGTACGACCACTGGAGCGACCTCAAGAAGAAGGGCGGCAAGGCCGCCAAGGAGAAGGAGAAGGGCCGCGACCCGTCGGCGGGCATCATGGACATGATGAAGGACCTCTACGACAACGGCGACGACAACATGCGCAAGATCATCGGCGAGTCGATGATGAAGTCGCAGCGCGGCGAGAAGATGGACCCCAAGGACATGGGCCCGGGCGAGGACGACCTCGGCGCCAAGGAGGGCGACCTCGACGTCGACGCCGACGACATCACCAACGACGACTTCAGCATGCCCGCGGGGCTCCCCGCGGGGCTCCCGAAGATGCCCGACCTCGGCAAGATCCCGGGCATGGAGGACTTCAAGATGCCCGACGGGCCCTAGGTGGGCTTTGCGGCTGCGGCGCCCCATCTTTAGAACCTCTCCCTCGTTTGCGCGCGCTGCGCTGCGGCATTTTTTCAGCGAATCACCATCGTCACCACCAAGGGCGAGGTATTCTTGCAGCACGCCACGAGCCATGGCAGCCATCGTCGACGCGTCGACCTTCCCGCTGCTGCCCATCTCGCCGCCCATCGCGACGCTGAGCGGCCTCGCGGTGACGGAGCGCGACGTCTTCGTGTGCAGCTGGCCCAAGAGCGGCACGACGTGGATGCAGGCCATCGTCGCGCACCTCGTCGCGCCGGACCGGAGCGCCTGGAGCCACGTGTCCGAGGTGACGCCCTTCTACGACGCCGCCGCGTCCTGGGACGGCGCCGCGCCCGCGGCGCACCTGCGCGCCGCGTTCGCCGCGCGCGGCCGCCGCGCGTGGAACACGCACGTGCCCTGGTCGCTCATGCCCAAGGGCGCGCGCTACGTCTACGTCGTCCGCGACCAGCGCGACGCCCTCGTCAGCTTCTGGCACCACCTCCGCAACCAGCGCGGCGACGCGGGCACGTACGAGGGCGCCGCGCCCGCGTCCGGTGTTTCGGGAGAGCGGACGCGCGAGCCCGGTCTCTGTCGTGGTCCTCGCCACGCCAGCCCCGCGCGAGGCGGTTCCGAGGCGGTTCCGAGGCGGTTGCTCGCTGCAACGCGAGAGACGTCGCATCGCGAGAGATTTTTTCGCGCGGCCGCCCCGGGGGCTCCGCCGCCGCGAGCGGAGGTGGTCCCGCGAGCCGCTTCGCCGCGCTCGACCGCGCCCGCACCCCCCGCGCCGCGACGCGCTCGCGGCGGTGGCATCCCCGGACGAGCCGCGCGAAACGACGAAACGCGCAGGCCCGCTCGCCGCGTTCGCGGCCGACTCCGTCGCGAACACGGAGCCCTACGGCTCCTGGGCGGCGCACGTGCCGCGCCGGCGTCTCGGCCGCCGTGGAACGCACGGAACGCGCGCGTCGCTAGGTCGCGGACTGGTCCCACGCCGTCGGCGACGCGTCGGTGCTCGTGATTCGCTACGAAGACATGAAGACGGACCTCCCCGCGGCCGTCGTACCTCCGGCGTCCTCCGCGGACGCGGCGCGTGCTGACGACGCGGTCTCTAGGTCAAGAAGGTCGCGCTCCACCTCGGCTTCGCGGACATCACGGACGCGCGCGTCGCCGCGGTCGTCGAGGCGACGTCGTTCGCGGCGATGAAGCGCGACAAGGAGCGCTACAACCCCAAGTCCGTCGAGTGGGCGCAGGGGTACGAGTTCCTCCGCGCGGGCCGCACGGGCGACGGCGCGGCGACGCTCGACGACGCGGCGAAGAAGCTCCTCGACGACGACAAAAAGGCGCGGCTGGGGGGGCTGGGGGTTGTCCAGCGGGCGGCGCTGCTGGGGGAGTGACGGGTGTTCTTTTTTGCCTAATTTCCAGGGTTCGTTTCGGGCACGTAAGGGACCGTTTGAAATGCTTTCACGGGCCGGACAAATGTTTTCACTGGCCGGACAAAAGATATTGCGCATTCATAGGCCTCGGCCGAGGCAACCTCGAGCCTCATCAAATTTATGCGCCTCCGAAGCGTCTCGCATCGGCTCGGACAAAAGACACTATTGGTGTAGTGGTAGGTACGATTCCACCGGAGTCGCATCCTCTCGAACATATTAGATTCCCATTCTAATGCCCCGGGTTCGATTCCCGGATGGTGTACTTTCTTTTTTTGTGACCCCGCGCCACCCTCTTTTTTGTCCGCGCACACGCACACAACTCCTAGCAACGTACCACACACGAACGACACGAGAAACCCGAGAGCGCCTTGCGACAACGACCAATCAGAACGCGCCCCAAACAAAAGAAGCAACCCCTCGAGAGAACATTTAAAAAACCACCGTCACGCGACGAACGGCTTCGAGCGGCGGAGCGACGACGCGCGGCGGATGCGCGCGGGCGACAGCCCCGCGCCGCGGTCGTCGTCGTCGGCGAGGAGGGGCGCGTCCTCCTCGCGGCGCTTCGCCTTGGGCGGCGGCGCGGCGCGCTGCTTGATCGTCGCGCGCGTGTAGAGGAGCACCGCGGCCATCGTGAGCGACGCGCCGGAGAGCTGGCGGCCGTTGAGGTCCGCGCCCAAAAACGCGTAGGAGCCGAAGAGGAGGCAGCACATCTTGAACTGGCCGAGGATCTGGTGCGTCAGCGCGCTGAGGCGGCCGATGACCATGTAGCCCGTGGAGCTCGTCCACGCGCCGAGGACCGCGACGACGCCGAGGCGCGCGTACGCCGCCGCGTCCATCGTCCGCCAGCAGTTCAGCAAGACGCCGCCCTCGAAGTAGGCCATGGCCGGCAGGAGCGCCAGGGCCGCCGCGGGCAGCGTCGCCTCGACGAGCTCGCGGACCGCCGCCTGCTCGTCGCGCGCCTCCGCGGCGTCCGTCCGGCCGCCGCCCGCGTCCGCGGCCGCGGCCTTGCGCCGCGCGGCGATGGCGGCGCGCGACGCCGCGGACCACTCCGTCTTGTAGCGCGCCGTGACGACGACGTTGGCGAAGGCGACGAAGCAGCCGATCCTGTTCAGCGTGACGTCCGACACGCTCGCGACGAAGACGCCCGCGTGGATGAGCACGAGGCAGACGATGCGCGGGACGTTCAGCGGCGCCGCGGAGCCCCGCGACGTCTCGATGATGGCGATGAGGGGCGTCGTCAGCACCTTGCTGAGCTGCGTGAAGCCGACGGAGTTGAACAGGAGCGAGGCCTAAGCGCGGAAGAAGTGAGTGAGGACCGCGGGCGACCCGCCGAACGAGCCGACGTCTGATCTTCTCGAGCGCGCGACGGTCTCGAGCGCGCCACTGTCTCGCGCCGCCACGACGACGCGCGCCCGACCCCCCCCCGAAACGCGTCGAGCGCGCCGCGCCGCGATCGCAGTTCGACGCGGAGGCGCGCGTTCGCGAGGGACGGCGCCGTCGCCGTGAGGAGCACGAGCGTGACGACCTGCCGCCGCGACGGGCCCGCGCGGTTCCGCTCGCCGCTCTCGACGTCGACCTGCGCCCGCGGCCGCCGGCCGGGCCGCAGGCGGTTCGCGACGACGAAGTAGAGGATGACGAAGCCGTAGCCCAGGAACGTCAGCGTCAGCGGCATGCGCGCGTGCGTCGACATGATGTGCTTGTTCCCGAGGATGCAGCCGATCGCGCCGACGAGGTTCGCGACCATGGACATGAGCTTGCTCTGGGAGCAGCGCTCGTACAGGTGCGCGAGGTTCGTGCTGCCTCTTCGTCGGTACTTTTTCGTCTTTAAGCGGTGCTCGGCCTCTCGCTGTCGTCGCTGCATCATGGTTGTGATTGGCGGTTTCGCGGCGCGCGCCGGGGGCGGCGCGGGTCGTCGACAACGGTGTTAGCTAATTGTGCGTGTTGTGTGTCTGGCGCAGTGCTTGTATGCGGCGGTGGGCGTGCCGGTGGGCGGCGCCGCGCGCCCTCTTGGACGCCGCGTCGCGCACGACGGCGTAGTGGCAAAGGATGGGTGCAAGGTCGCGAGCTTGACGTTGCGCTTTGGTGGTGATGTGCGCCCGTTTGTGTGGAGCTGGACTTGTGTTTCTGGTCTCGTGTGGACGTGGATGGACATTTCGCGCGTCGAAGTAAAGTTGCGAGGACCGCGCGCGCGCGTGCACACACGCAGCCGCGCGAACATCCCAAACTCGACATACACGCCGTCCCTACATCGTGTAGGCCACGCCAACGCGCAACGTGACCCCTCGAGGCAAAAAAAAAGATGCATCCGGTGGGGTTCGAACCCACGCCGTCGAAACGACTGCGACTTGAATGCAGCGCCTTAGACCACTCGGCCACGGATGCGAACCAGAGACTCTCTAGGCGAGCGCTGGGACCCCACGAGACTGCGATTTCTTGCAAAATTTCTCGGCCGTCTCTCCCGCTGCCAAGAATCAGCCTACCTCCATAATTTTTTCATTACTCTTTTTGCTCACATCGCTCGCGTCAACTATGGTTTGCGGCGCGCGACTCGCGCCACGACATCGACAGAGCTAGACCTTGTCGTGGAGCGCACTCATTTCGAGCGGGCTCAGCAGCTGAGATCGATAGAGGCTCGCTCACTTCCACGGCTGCGCTGTCGCGTCCTACGACGTCGCACCGTCGTCGCACCGTCAGGATCGTCATCTTCATCGTCAGCGGCATCTGCTTCCGCGGCGGCGCGGTGGCGGCCGCGGCGTCCGTCACAGAGCAGCGAAGCCGCGCGCGCTGGTCGCGGTCCGACTCCTCGTGGAGCCCAGACACGAGGCCCTCGACGCCCCTGGGCGCGTCGTCGTCCTTGGACCACTGGGCGCGGTAGATGCCCGTCGAGCGTCGCCGACGCCTCGCCGAAGGACGAACTGTCGGACTCGAGAACGAACAGATCCCGGCGTCTGGGACTTGGTCGCAGCGGTTCAGCCGCGGCTTTCACGCGAAGCGCGGGTTCTCGAAGCAGTCCACGCCCCTCGTGCGCCTCAGGAGCTTCGGCGCGGGCGCCGCGCAAACGACAGCGTTTCCCGAGACGCCGCGCCGCGAGACGAGAGGATTCTGGCGTCGGTACTGATTTCGCATTCGTTCGGGAGCTGCTTCCACCCGAGGCACGGGTTCTCGAAGCAGTCAACACCCGCCGCGCACCTCAGGCCGCCCAAACGCTGGCCCGCGCGCAATAAAAAAAATAAAAAAGCCGCGCTCGCGTGGATTTCGGGTTGGGTGGGAGGGGGAAAAAAAAAAAAGATGAAAGATGCGAATTACCCGGATCGAACGGGTGACCTACAGATGGACCGTGAAGTCTTCAGTCTGGCGCTCTCCCAACTGAGCTAAACGAGCTGAGTAGCCTCGCGATGCGAAACACTCCTCCGCTTCGGCTCAGATTGAACTAAGTTCGCTAGTGGTAGAACCGACGACCTCCCCCGGTGCGTTGAGGGTGGCCATTGGTCGTGAGTTGAGCGGCGTGCAGCGGAAGTGGAATCTGAATCCGATGCAGCTTCATCGGCATCGAAGAACTCAGTGGTGAGACAACATGGGCGCGACGTGACGCTGCTTGCCCGCCTGACCGTCGCCACAGAAGCGCAACGCCTCGCTTGAACGAAGGAATGCAACGTTGCAGCGCGATGCGAGTTTTGCTGCTCCTTGTGAGCCGCGCGAGCTGCGCCAGCGGCCTAAACCATGCGACGGCATTGCTAACGCAGTTCAAGAACACGTGCGCCGCGCGGCCGCCGCTCGCCGCCGGACAACACAATCACTCGCCGCGCACGCGCAGCGCGAGTCGCCCGCGACGACCGCGCGGCGGCCGCGAGACTCTCCTCTACAACAGCAACAACAACACCACGCGCACTTCCTGCTCTACAAGCCCGACGGCGTCCTCTCGCAGTTCGTCACGCGCGCCAAGGTCAAGAAGCGCCACCGCTTCCTCGGCGACCTCGGCCACGCGTTCCCCGCGGGCACGATGGCCGTCGGCCGGCTCGACCGCGCGACGGAGGGCCTGCTGCTCCTGACGACGGACGGCCGGCTGTCCTACCACGTGACGACGGCGGGCCGCGTCGAGAAGGAGTACTGGGCCGAGCTCGACGGCGTCATCTCCGACGGCGCGCTCGCGGCGCTCGAGCGCGGCGTCGACGTCGGCGTCCGCGGCGCCGGGGGCCGCGCGCGGTCCGCGCCCTACGCCGCGCGGGCCGTGGCGGCGACGAGGCTCGCCGCGCCGCCGCCCCTGCCGCCGCGGCGCCGCCGGGTCCCCGCGCACCGGCCGCACTCGTGGGTCGCGCTCACGGTCCTCGACGGCAAGTACCACCAGGTCCGCAAGATGACCGCTGCCGTCGGCTTCCCGACGCTGCGCCTCGTCCGCGCGCGCATCGGCCACCTCCGCGTCGGCGCCATGCGGCCCGGCGACGTCGCGCCCCTCGACGCCGCGGCGCTCGGCGCGCTCGCGCCGCCGCCGGCGGGACCGGACGGCCGCCGATGACGCGGCGGCCCGCGGCGACGAGGCCGTCGCCGCGGCGCGGCGCGCGAGCTGGGGGAGTGTTAGAGGGGAGTGTGTGGCAAGGGACTCGGAATACAGGGGGGGCTACTTGTGATTACTACAGCCTAAAACCTACAGCCAAGCTAGAGGGACGCGGCGACGTCGACGCCAAGGCCGAGCACGAGTCGCCCGCGCACAAGCGCAGCATCTCGGGCTCGGGCGATGACGCGGCGTAAAGACTTAGGCTATGATCGCGCGTCGAGGCGCGCGAGATGCGCGTCGAGGCGCGCGAGGTTCTTTATGGCGGTCTCGTGGCCCTTGGCAACGGCGCGCTCGGTCCAGTATCTGGCTTTGCTGAGGTCGACTTCCGTGCCTGTTCCGTTCACGTAACAAGCGCTAAGGTTGGTCTCTCCATCGGTGAAGCCTAAGTTCGCCGCGAGCGCGAAGTACCGGGCCGCTTCTTCAAATTTGTTCGCAGAACGAAGTAAAACCCCCAAATTGTTTTGCGCGACCGCGTGGCCCCGATCTGCGGCCGCGCGATACAGCTCCTCCGCCTTCTTCTTGTCCAGCTTGACGCCACTTCCAGTATCGTACGCGTACCCAAGTTTGACCATCGCGCGCACATCTCCGAGCTCCACGGCGCGCTTCAAAATGTTCGCGGCTTTCTTATCCGATTGCACGAGGCCGTAACGACCGCCGCTGTACGCCCATCCCAAATGCGCAATCGCTTCCGGCACCTCGTTCTCCACGTGGCGGCGCAGACGCGCGAGCTGCTCCGCATCGCTTCCTAGCGGTGAACGACAGAGAGCACACGCGTCTCCGATCTTGTCCTCACACGATCGGCAGACCATCCGGCAGCAACAGACGCGAAACACGGTCGGAGCATTCACGTCCCACTCCTCGAGACAGATCGGGCACCGCGACCCGTTCCGCGCCGACAGCGGCTCGGGCTCCGGGTTCGCCTCGCGCCGCGCGCGGGCGGCCTCGTGTTCGGCGGCGATGCGCGCGCGGATCTCGTCGGCGCGCGACCGCGGCGCGGGGCCGTAGACGACGTCGCGCGGGGGCGGCGCCGGGGCCTCCGCTCGCGCCGCCTCCGCCGCCCGCTCGTCGCGGATCTTCTTGCACGCCTTGCGATGGCCTCGGTCGCGCCAATCGATTCTTTGACAATCTGTCGAGCAATACTGGGTTGTGCCGCAGGGACAGTTCAGCAAGGTCCTCGGTTTCACACCGCAGATCGTGCACGTGAGGCGGAGCTGTAGCGCTTTCGCCCGGGCTTTGCGCTCCTCGTACTCGAGCTTCTTCTTGATCAGCTCGGGGTCCATCGCTCAGCTGTGAGATGATCGCCAAGCGAGCCGCCCCTCACAACGCAGGCTCTCACACGCCGCCTCCTCCGTACGCTCCCTGCGCGTCTTGAGGCCCGAGTGGCCTTCGAGAGGCGCCTCGCGTGCGCCCCTAGGCGCGCCAGGGACGTAGACCCCTCTCCCTAGCTTTGCTTCTTCGTCCGCGCGCATTCGCGCGCGAGAGCCGCCTTGGACGCGCGAGCTCGCGCTGGGCAACAGCCTCTCATGGCACCACAGAGCGAAGTTGGACGGCGCGTTTCGAGGCGTCGCGCGCGCAGTACGTCGTGGCGCACGCGTCGTGACTCGTGACGGCGCGCCGCGGCCTCCGACGACGAGGCCGGCCGGCCGCCGATCTGCCACACACAAGACGAGCAGCTCATCCGTTCGAACCGCCGGCGCATGGCGCCGCCCACCACGGCGGATTCGCCGCCCACAAAAGCTAGTCCCCCGACCACCCCGACGAAACCCTCATTAACTCCGGACGACAAGCGCCTCATCTCCTTCCGCATCGCGCACACGCCCGAGCCGACGTCGCCCACGCGCAGCCCGCCGCGGTCGCCCGGGCGCAAGAGCCCGAAGTCCGCGTCACCAAAAAACAAGAAGCAAAGCTCAAAGCTCAAAGCCGACGCGGCGCCGTTCCCCGTCGTCGAGGTCCGCGCGCCGCCGCTGCCGCCGGTGACGGCGCTGTCGCAAGTGCTCGCGTTCGACGTGCGCGGCGGCGACGACGACGACAAGCCGAGGCGCGCGCGCCGCAGCAGCTCCGGCGCGTCGTCGTCGGACGGCGCGGGGACGGCGTCCGGCGCGTCGTCGTCCGGCGCGTCGTCGTCCGGCGCGTCGTCGTCCGGCGCGCCGCCCGGCGGCTCGCCCCAGGCGGCGTCGGGCGACCTGCCGCTCCGGCCGCTCAAGGAGAACGTCGACGCGGACGACAAGGACGACAAGGACGAGGGCCGCGTCGGTTCCGGCGTCGCGGGGTTTGGAGCGCGCCGATCACGGCGCGGGGTTTGGAGCGGCCCGAGGGTTCGGAGGGTGGCCCGGGAGCAGCGAATCGAAGCGGCTCCCCCGACGCAGGCGCTCTCGACGCGGAGCTCGTCGTCCCGCGTCGCGGCCCTCGAGCGCGCGCTCGCCGAGGCCCAGGCGGCGAACGAGACGCTCGCGCGCGAGCTCCGCGCGGCCCGCGACGACGCGCGCGACGCGCGGCGCGACGCGGACCGGTGGCGCGCCGAGGCGGCCGCGTGCAGCGAGAAGGCCGCGCACCACGCGGCGAGCGAGGCCGAGGCGACGGCGGGCCTCGAGCGCGAGGCGGAGATGGCCTGGCGCGAGGCCGAGACCTGGGTCGAGCACGAGGAGGCGCTCGAGCTCCGCGAGGAGTTCCTCCAGTCGCGCGCGACGGACGAGTCCGAGCACCGGTCCGCGGCGACGCCGTCGGCGGGCGCGTCGCCGCGGTCCTGCTTCTCCGGCGCGTCCTGGTCCGCGGGCCGCGGCGCGGCCATGAAGCCGAGCCACTTCCTGCCGCCGTCGCCGAAGCGCGACGCCGCGGCCGACGCCGACGACGACGACGAGGGCGACGCCTGGGCCGTCGCGCTCCACCGCTCCGCGACGGCGCACCCGTCGCCGAGCCGCACGCTCCACGAGAAGCTGAGCTCGCCCCACCGCAAGCCGCCGTCGCCCGCGGAGACGCGGAAGCGCGCGGAGGAGCGGCAGGTCGCCGCCGGGGCCGACGAAGGGGCGATTCGAACGCGCTTCGACTCGAGACGCGTTTCGGAGCGCGAGCCTACGCGTCGAGAGATGATCGCTCGTCCAAAGATCGAGTGGAAAACGGCCTCGTCGCTCCGGGAATCGTTCACGCCTCGTCGCCGGTCGGGGATCGTTCACGCCTCGCCGGTCGGGGATTGTTCACGCCTCGTCGCTCGGGAATCCTTTCGTCGCTCCAGGTCGCCGCGATGCGGAACCGGGGCCGGCTCCGCTGCGAGCAGTCCGCGCGGCTCCGCGAGGCCGCGGCGCACGCGCGCGGCGTCCGCGTCGCCAAGGAGCTCGCCGTCGCCGCGCGCGAGGCCGAGTCCGCGCGGCGCCACGACCGCGCGGAGGCGCGCCACGCGGCGCACCTCGAGTCCGTGCGCAAGAAGGCCGTCCGCGAGTCCAACAAGGTCGACGAGATCTCCTTCATCAACGAGATGGGCCTCCTCGACATGCAGTTCGACCTCAAGCGGCGCCTCAACGAGATGGAGGCGCGCATCGACGAGGCGCGCGCGCGCCGCGCGCGGCTCCTCGCGGGCGTCTCCAGCAAGCAGCAGGCGCGCGAGAAGGACAAGGAGGACAAGCTCGCGTCCGTCGGCGGCGTCCGGGAGGGGGCCGTTTCGTTTTTCCGCGCGGCTCGTCCGGGG